TATGATTGTAACAGATAATTATGCAGTAAGGAAATAAAAATTTCATGCAAACAATATTTGAAGTGTCTATAAAGCCAGCTATTTAGTAAACTGCCACTTGTGAATTCAATCCATACTCAAATTTTCAAAACTTTAAATATTGTAATCATATGAAGCAAAAGTTCTGTCACTTGTTGTTTACACTTGCCAATGTTAACTGTTGACTAACATACACAAACTATTTGAGGAACATGCATTACTGTAGCAAAGAGGTCAGTCATATATTGAAGACCACTGAATAATACAGAATGTTTTGAAGGTCATGAGTGAAGTATATAATTCAATTCCAGTCCTGTGCACAGTTAATGATATACCGCACTGTTCGGTTTAACACAGCATATCCACACAAAAATAATTTGTGTTGTGGGAGAAAATCTGTTTGAGTAGAGGGTATCACAAGTTTAGTTTTGTACATTGTGTGCCATTGATCAGATCCATCCATATATTATATAATCATTCATTCATTCATTGTAGCTGATAAGTTATTTTCCATGCTAATGCATTTAGGTAAGATTGTCTTGCAAGTGGGTTGTTCAGACAAAACTATCCAGCCAATATCCAGTAAATTTATTCATCATTCTTGTATCAATCTCTAAACAAAAACATTTATGTCAGAAAGCAAAATGACAATGTAATGAGGCCCAGGAGGGTGGGGATTCTTTTATTAGCATTTGAAAATGTTTGTAAAAATTTTGTTTAATTATAAACTCTAATGTGTAAAACCAAAATGTATAAGTATTGTAAACTGATAACATCTTTAACTCCCAACACTACATTTGATGACAGCTTAGTAGTTGGACTGTTGTTTTGAACAGAGTTTATACAGAAATACACGACCAGGATTTAATTCAATATCTCTCGAGACCATTATAGTTTCCTTTGATATTGTACATTGGCAATATTGCCTGCTATGCATGTTTTGACTGTTTAAAATATTACAGAAGTCACAGAAGGATTGTTTTACTGTATAAATCTTTTTGTGAACTATGTTGACAAATGGCTTAAAATATCCTCGAAAATATCCAATATTTTATACAGTGTAATATATTAATAAAAAATTCCAGAGTGCATTTCATGTACACAGTCTCTACGCCGAAGATACGGCAATATTAACTATAGATAGTATAGTAATTTGCCGAACTCATGTATTAAATATGTGGGATATATATTTGCACAAATTTGGTATTTAAATCTATAATATATGGTATTTGACTACTTACCAGATGAGGATAAGATTCCATGTTGATAAATAACTTCGGAATAATATCGCAAGTAGAATGGCGAGAAAAAAAGCCAGCCAATTCAAGATAAATTGATAAAAATATCAAGATATTTTTGAAAGAATATAAACACGATTTATACACGAGGCCTGACGAGGCTAAAGTATGCCCGTTCGCAGGTTAGATGCGGGCACGATGTAAACAATCGATGTAAACGAATCGCTGATTGGCTTAAATTGGCTTAAATTATATAAGCTCGTCGCTGAATGGCTATCTGTTAACATACGGTACGGTCACGTTTGCGATAGCATATATATCTGCTTCGCAGATACAATAAAACACTCCTGCTCGTTTATTAAACAGTACATAATATATATATATATATATATATATATATATATATATATATATATATATATATATATATATATATATATATATATATATATATATATATATAGGAGCTAACATTAAAGCGAAAACGTTTGTGCAAAATTTGAGTGGCTTTTATTTTATTTTACGTTATAAATGTCTCTTTTGGTTGCACATTGAAACCTTTTCTATATACAACACTTGTATCTTGTTATCAGCAACATTTCACTATATATAAATATATATATATATATATATATATATATATATATATATATATATATATATATATATATATATATATATATATATATATATATATATGTTGAGTTGTGTAATTGTACACTCCGTAATATGTTAAGGTGAAAATGTTCTCGAGTGTATTATATAATTTCCATACCCATTACGGAGTGTACAATTACACAACTCAACATAACACTTGCAGAACTAGTATTGTTCGATGCTGAATTAATATAAACGAGTATGTTTATGACATTCAGTATATATTTCATAATTTCCAGTCTTAAATCCGTCTGACCGTGTAGCTCAGTTGGTAGAGCGTCGATCTAGTAATTCGAAGGTCGCGGGTTCGAGACCCAGCCGCGGCAGACAACATCTTTCTGCTTGCGCTGGGTATGGAAATTATATAATACACACTCTAAGAACATTTTCACCTTAATATATATATATATATATATATATATATATATATATATATATATATATATATATATATATATATATATATATATATATATATATATATATATATATATATATATATAAGATTAGATTAGAAGACAAACTTGAATTACTTCATATGAACTTTATTTCACTACAAGTTTTGTTTCGTATATGACAAGACGAGTCTTACCACACTCATCAGGTGAATTTAAATAACGCGCTATGTTGTTGCCTAGGATATACTATGTACATGTTTGAGGTCAAAAGTGTTATATTACAGTTTTATTTATAATCTATTTATTGCTCAACAGGAATTTGTTCCGGTGTCTACATTTTGACAATAGTTCATTTCTAGAGTTCAAGGAGCTGAGTTTAGGATAATAAATAATTATAAATTTTTCGTGCAGGCATAAGTTGCATCGTTTGGTTTGGTTTGAGTAGTTTTTACACTTTTTCATAATTCTCCAGAGTCTAGCGTAAAATACTCCATTAAATGGAGAATTATGAAAAAGTGTAAAGGCTACTCAAACAAAACCAAACGATGCAACTTATGCCTGCACGAAAAATTTCTAATTATTTATTATCCTAAACTCAGCTCCTTGAACTGTAGAAATGAACTATTGTCAAACTGTAGACACCGGAACAAATTCCTGTTGAGCAATAAATAGATTATAAATAACAGTGTAATATAATGACGCGGTAAAGTCCCAAAAACGCGAAAAAATTAGCATAATGACGCGGTAAAGTGCCAAAAAACCACTTTTGACCTGAAACATGTACATAGTATATCCTAGGCAACAACATAGCGCGTTATTTAAATTCACCTGATGAGTGTGGCAAGACTCGTCTTGTCATACGAAACAAATTTGTAGTGAAATAAAAGTTCATACGAAGTAATTCAAGTTTGTCTTTTAATCTAATCTTATCAGCTCTACTACGGTATTGAGAACTCTACTCATATATGATTCCAAACTCGATACTTGTTATATATATATATATATATATATATATATATATATATATATATATATATATATATATATATATATATATATATATATATATATATATATATATATATATATATAT